GAAATTCTAATGTGGATCATCAAACTCACATAACAAAGACTAATCTTTATATTTAAAAAATTATCTACCATCTATTTTATTGTGCAAAATCTACAAGAGAAAAAACTAATTAGCAAAAATAAAAATTCACACTCATAAAAAATTATCTGAAAATGAGGTAAAAAAAATTTAGAGGCAAAGGGAAAAGGGAGAGGGTGACGAAAAGGTTATGGTTTAAAGGAAAAAAAGATAATGAAATTTGTGTGTGTGAGTGTTACGTGGGAAGGCCCCTTACTTTAGTCTTGTTGGACTAAAATCAAATAGTCCAACAAGACTAAAAACTAAAACTAAAATCAAATAGTAATAATTGTCAATCCTTACTTTAGTCTTTAGGTTTTGAATAAACAGTAAAGACTAAAACGGCCTAGTGTGAAGTGGGTAGAGTACTGATAATTTGATATAGTTATAGTGTCTAGTTATATATTAAATTATTAATATTTAGGAATGATAAATTAGTAAATTATTACCGTCTTATTGGGTTATCGGTTTACCCAATAACCTAATAGTAAAAACCAAAATCGAACCAATAACTCAATATCTTTTTTTTATAAACCCATTAAAAACCCAATAACCCAATAACAATTTTTCAGTTCAATTTATTGATCGGTTCGATTTTTGCACACCCCTACGAAGGGGTGGGAAGGGGGTGATTATTTGGTTAGTTTTGAGAGATTTTAGGAAATTAGGAAGAATTTTTGTTTTTAAGGATATTTTTAATGTCTTGGAGGGAAAATATTAGAATTGTCTTTTCGACGCATAGTACAATTTTTTTCTTTTTAATTTTTATTAATTATTAAATAAAATATTTTACCTTAAAAAGTCTATTATTATTACAAAAGGTTAAATTAAGTTAAAATACAAGAAAAAATAAATATTTATGAATATGACTATATAAGATATCTAATCACTAAATAATACGAATATCTAATCAAATTAATGTATTACTATATAAGATAAAACGTTGAAGTGAAATTGGTTATACAAAGTAGAAAAAATATTCAAGCCTATCTTAATAAATTAAAAGAAAATAGAAGATCAAAAATTACAATCCGCTTGAAATGAAAAAGAAGAAGATGTATATATATATATATAAAAAATTTATACAAAGTAGAAAAAATATTCAAGCCTATCTTAATAAATTAAAAGAAAATAGAAGATCAAAAATTACAATCCGCTCGAAATGAAAAAGAAGAAGATGTATATATATATATATAAAATTTAAAACTAACAAATTTAATAAATTTTTGGGGGTCGATAATCGCCACAAACTATACTAACTTGTGGCGATTTTCTAATCTCCTTAATAAAACAATCACAAAAAGATTTATATTGTGGGAGTTAGAATAAAACATTACAAAATGAATTAATAGTGAAATTTTTTAAAATTCCCACAACTTAACCACCATAAATTGAATATTTTTTGTAGTGTTTGTAGTGATTTTTACCTCAGCATGAGACGAATATTGCTCCAACTTATAGATTAGATAATTATTTTGGTCTGATCTCACACTTTGGAATGACGGAAAATGTTGGGACATCCTCAAGTTTTCATGTTTTGCCTACTTTTGATACAAATGACTATAATCGGTGCGTCCAACACTTAATTTTTAATTTAAGTAAGTTGATTATATGAGGTAAATATTTATTCTTTCTACGTATATAGGAAAAATATCACGCAAAATGAGCCAGTTGATCCTTTGAATATCGATAATCATGACCTTTCGAATTATGACTCACCTGCAACCAGTGATGATTTGCCTAATGTAAAGGTATCAGGAGATAAATGTTTCATTTGAGGTATCATCTAGTGATGATGAGTTTTTTATGCCCAATAGGTCGCTAAAACCAATGTGCATAAGTCCGTTTCATGGCGAAGAATCTTTTCCACCATCGACTCAACAATTAGTAGTCACACCATCCACAGTGCGTATGCCTAAGTTTCGTTCTTATGAAATTTCTTATCTTGATCATCTCCTAGATGGTCCAAATATCATTGTATACACATGATGAATATACATCACAACTTACGTGGTGTGATTTTATGAATGATGCTATTTATATTGAAAAAGACATATTGTTTAATTAAAAAAAAACAGTTGCAAAGGATAGTTAAACTTCTACATTTAAAGATAGCAAGGTAGTACTTAGTTATTAAATCGACAAAAAAATCATGGCGACTTATTTGTAGGTGTGTAGAACAAAGATGTCTATTTAGGTTGACTTCTTTTAAGGATAAATATACTAACATGTGGGAAGTTGGAAGGTACATTGAAGAACTTACATGTGATATGAGTATGTCTCGCGAAGGACGTTTCAACTTGGATGTTGATATGATTAGTTATGTTTACCGTACTAATATAAAATGGGCATAACTTCTTACTCACATATCAGATTGTCAAACGATTTGTTGCATTGGAAACTAGATTCGCATATCATTAATTTGATAGGTTATGAGACATATACTTCTTCATATTCTAATATATATGTTTGTTTGAAATTGACCCAGGTAAAAAATTAATTATATCGAAACTCAATCGGTCAAGAAGCTTTCACCTAAACTTTGTGCTAAAGTATTCTTATGACTTTAATACATTTCCTAATTAAATTTTTTCCTCACTTAGGGTCCTTTGATAGGAAATATTAAAAGAAATCATTCATGTATTATGTATGCTATTATTTAGTACTATGTTTGGTAGGATGTTGGACCTATGTATAACTAATCCATGGATTAGTTATACACCCTACATGGATTATATGATATATAGCTAATATCCTTTCATTTGGTGGTATATATTAGTAATATACATATGATTTAATACCATGTAATTAATATATGTAAAGATAAAATACCCCTCAAATCCTTTTAATCATTATTTTTATTTTCTTGATTTTATGTTTTATACTTGCAGTTGTGTACTAGTAAATTTATTTAAATAAATTAGCTTGCAATTAATATATTGTAAATTAGATAAATAATTAATTAGTGTTATTTTGCTGAGTAACACATTCGAATTGATCAACATAAGAAGCATATTACATCATTAAGAAAAATCTCTTCTTTTGATTTGTCATAATATTTAATCAAATTTGGCAACAACGTTATCTCCTTTTATGTAATGCCTACCTAGTTTTAAAAAAATTGGTAGAAAAAACCTATCATTTTTTTCCTAGCAAAAGCACTGATGAGATATATATATATATATTAGAAAAACACTTATAAAAGTTGAGTAAATTTTTAAGATATTAGCTCCATATTAAAATTATAATTTGTATTTTTTATGTGTAAATGTAAATTGATTAATTCGATCTTATTATAATTTACCGTCTTTTCGATTTTAAAAGTTGATGGTCTATCTTTATTAAATTGAACATTAACGTTTTGTGAGTAATCAATTTATTAAGATAACAATTACTTACCCTCAAATAATTCAAGTGAGAAAATAACAAACATGACGACAAAATTGTTCTTCTCCTAGAGTTAGAAGATCATAAAAAAATATTGTCTCGCAATATTTATCTACCTTGACTCAATTACATGAAATAGAAAATCTCATAATAATTCAATGGTATAATTGAAAAAAAAACATTCCGAAGAGTTTTAATCCAAACATAAGATGAAGTGGAAGCAATGAACCAAACACTTGATAAAAATAAAATAAAACCTGCATTACTGATTCCTGCACTACTAAATCTTGCATTGCTAATTTCCGTGTTACTAATCCCTGTGTACCGAACAACCCCTTAAGAGTTGACCTTTAACACCTCTACAGAATTAAAAATCACCCCCCATCCAAGACTATACCCCTACAAAAAAAATGTTCTAATCTTAGTTTAGAATCATACATATATATATATATATATATATATATATATAACAGAATCCTAGGCTCGGCTATGTGGCGCCACCACAAATCAGAATTCCCTTTTAATTTATTTATTTTCAACACTAGCCTTCCCCTTTCATGAAAAATTGTGACTTTTATGAACAATTGCGACTTTATGAAAGTTGTGAGTTTTATGAAAAATTGTGAGTTTTATGAAAGGTTGTGACCTTTTCGAAGGGTTACAACTTTTTCAAATAGTTGTGATATTTCCGATAAGGCACAATAAACATATGTTCACACTACCCATTGTTGTCTATAAATAGAAGGATTTTCTCTCATTTTAAAACAACGAAAATTTTGAATTCTTCTTCTTCTTCTCCTTCTTCTTATTCTTATTCTTCGTGCTTCTGCGTCCATCGTCCTTCTTCTTCTCCGTCCTTCGTCCTTCTTTTTCTTCTCCTTCTTCTTCTTCTTCCCATCCTTCTCCTCCTCCTGCCTCTGCTTCTCCTCCTCATCCTCCTCCTCCTTCTTCTTCTTCACAATTAAATATTCGTGCACTTTGGTCCCGTTAAGTGGCTCACTGACACCATTATTTTTGTATCAATACACTGGTGATTCGTTTAATCTTGAGAGAATCTATTCCTTTAAACATCGGGCACTAGAGGAGAATAATTTCCATAAGGGGACATTGTACAGTTAGTGAGATCGATTTTTTCCTTCCTGTTTCATTCTATTGTTACAGATCCTGATATGTTTTTTTACAGTCATTAATTTATGCTTATGTTATTAAGGATAAATGATAAAATGTTATAATTTTCATTTTCCTTTACATTGTTAATGTTTGTTACTACGTAATCTTGTATGTAAGATAATACAGTGTTTTAGTTTCAATGACTGATAGGTTTTAAGTATTATTTTATGAATTTCGTAATATTAAATTTCCGCGCGAGACGCTAGTTTACCAATATTACAATAACTTATTATAAATGATACCAATTAAATAATTAAAAAAAAAAGAGGATAGATGTCCAATAGTGGCACAATTTATTTTCAGGAGTGTGTTAGATCCATTACCCAAACCACATGTATTGTTTTGACCCATACCCGACCCATCCAACCTATCAAATATAATGTAAAACAAATTCTCTCTTCCGAAATGGGAAGAGTAGATGAATTAGGGTTTAATCTTGGGTGCTTTAACCTCCCTTTTCTTCGAGTATATATGGATTCTCCTCAACCAGGTATTCAATTTTCTCTAAATTTATGTATTTTCTGTTTTAAGAAGGAATAACGTTGCTTTATTTATCATTTCTTGGCTGATTCCTGTGATTTTTGTGCTATACGAAATTGGGTTTTCATCTTTCTACTAAATATGGGTATTATTGGGATCTACAGGCATGGAATCTGAAAAGCAGATTAATGATGAAGAAGTTAAGAGTGTAATTGAAGTAATGGCAGCTAGTGGGAAGTACTGGTATACTATTAATTTGCCCTACAACTTTATTTATTTCCAAGTGGCTAGTTTAAATTTGCAATTTGAGTTAGTCCCATTTTTTCACATTGCTTAACTGATGTGGAAATGGTAAACACAATAAATTTTTGTCACATACAATAATCTTGCTACTGTTGTTGTTTTATGTAAACTCTTTTACCTGCATCTGAATGGAAGAAGATATTAGTGTTTGCTGCATCCTAAAGTGGGTGTTTAATGGGGATGAGCAAAGTACATTTAGTTGATCTGACAGACAAACCTTGTTTCATTGGCCTGCTAAAATTATGGCTACCTCTAGTTAGTTTATGCTAAGCCAAGCTCCATATGTTTGAGTTTTTATGGATCTGTGAGCCCAAGCAAGCTCTGTGCAAGTGCACACAAGCTCACCAGGATATTACTTTTATAAAAAGGAAAGCAAGCTCAGTGCAAGTTTAGCTAGAATATAGAAAGGATAGTCCAATGCACAAAACATCATGCATTCACGTAGGGTCTAAGGAAGGGCCGTACTCCAGGGGGTGTGATGTAGATCTAAGTTGCACAGACCTTCATTTTTTGATGCTGCTCTCGTGTCGAGTGTGATTGTGGGATTCGGTCAACTCACATCAAATACTTTGATCACAGTCCATAGACACATTTGGGGGAAATTGAGATTTTTATTCCTCAAAATAAAAGATAAAATAAATTTAAGACATGGGAAATGACATACCTTCTAGTATTGTAGTCCTTTTGTCTCCTTTTTAGTTTTTCGTCTTCGTCAATATTCCTTGCTTCATGTTTCAGGCCAAACAGAGAGAAACTAAGAATTCTAGCAGTCATGTTCTGACTTCTGGTAGACAGTAGCAATGATTTTCTCTTTCTTATTTGAGGGGAAGAACCATAGAGCATGAATGAAGAAGTTGGGGTCTTGGGGAAGACAATCTCAGAAGATCTTTCAAAATTTAGAATATCTCCATAGCTATATTTTATAATTTTGAATTTTAGCCGAATCCTAGCACCTAGATCCATACTCCTGAACCTTAAATTTAGATTTTGCTAAATCTGATTCTCGGATTCGCACCCATGTCGGATACTTGCACCGGAGTCTGAGCAACTTAGATATAGATAGCGTACCCTAATGAAAGCGTTAGTGGCTGCTTCCCTAGCTCGAACCTGTGACCATATTGCTCCCACTTTTTCATTGCCCAAGTTTAGCTAGAATATCTTGGAGATGAAAGAATATAGTAATACTATTGCTATAAGATTGATAGTCGTATTTCATGTATGTATTGTTATATTCCTTTCTAAGTACTTTTTCATTGAAGTTTTTCGTGACTGACATTATCTTGTACTACTTTACAACTTTGCCTTGCTTGTTTACTAGCTCAACAAAGTTGGACAGAACTTACTGAGAAATTTGACCATATAGGTCACAAGAACGTCAAAGGTTTTTATTGTCAAGGAAGAACGTTAGATTCTTTAACCTGGGACTAAAAACATTATACTAGAGTAAATAGTTGGTTGGATAGGATAGGATAGTTCTTTTAGCTATCTAAAGTTTATTATAATATTGTACAAGTTGGCTGCAAGTTGTTAAGCTGGTTGTTGTACTTGAGTACTTCAAAGAGCAAAGACTAGTTAAGTTCTTGAGTTTGGTCTCTAATCAAACTAGTCTTATAACTTGGATGTGCTCAAGCTGAATCTAAGCCATTAGATCATTTCCAACCCTTCTTTATTTTACTTTGTATTTTCTATATTTGGAGAGTAAAATGGAGAATGGGTTCTCCAACCACTCTCTATAATTATTCTCTAATTATAGAGAGGTGAATTTGAAGAACTACTATTCATACTCTCTATTTTACTTTTTGATTATCATATTATTATTTCTATTATATAATATTTCTAATTAACATATTATAAATCATATACGACCATTAACTAAATCTGTAATATTCGTAATTCTTTGTTAATGTAATAAAACATTTTAAAAAATATATTATTTAATATATACTACTTTCATCCCGAATTAATAATATTTCAAACATTTTTTTCAATTTTCTTCACTTTAAGTGATATAATTTAAATTTATTATTCTTTGTCACTATGAATAATGCACAAAATTTAAAAGATAAGATGAAAATTTTAATTTAACAATAAAATACATAACATAATAATGTAAATACAAGATAATAATACAATACATAACATAATAATTTTAAAAATCACAACAATAATTTAGTAATCCAGTAGGTCATTTCCAGATTCACCAATATTCAGAAAAAACCAGTGTATGATCCAGAAAATTGTTGTCGTTGTGATTGCGGCTTTGGTTGTTGATTTTTTTTTCCAACTATTCGTAGTTGTTCTTGTCGCATGTATTCTTGAACAGTTGGATCACTAATAGCTTCTAAACTTGTCCTTAAAATTTTATTTTCTTCTCTATATTCCTTGAGTTTGATATATCTATCTTGCCCTTGGTCGTCTTGTTGTTTGGATGTAGTTGACTCTGACAACATCTCACCAAGTCGTTTATTTTCTGCTTCGAAAACTTTCAGAACTGATGAAAGACCTTCATCTTTTGTTAACTTCATTTTTGATTTCTTCACCCCAATAGGTCGTTCTAATGAAGTGTAATCACCTGCAAAATCCTCATTTAAATTAAGTGAAAATGATGATAAGTTAGGAGATGATACTATAGGATTTTGTAGGTGATTACACTTCATTAGGTGATTCAAGATAGGAGCCTCAGACTTTGATGATTGCAAATAAGTGCCTTGTCCTTGAACTTTTATCTTTTCGGTATCGATATCCTTAAACTTTTCAAAATCTTTCATCAGATTCCATACATGATCAAACTTAAAACCCTTTTTATAAGTTGGTACTTGCATAAGTAGCGGTTTTGCTTTGATGAATCTGCAAAAAAAGAACCAAAGTTGTATAATAAGTAAATATATGTATATAAATATATTATTAGTAGTTACAAAATAATCACTCATAATATCTATATCCGAAGCACCATTGGTATGCAAATTTTCAGTTTGTCTAATACATCCACTTAATTTTCTTACTGCCCTCTCAATTAGGCTATTCGACACTGCACAGATTTTTTGTTGCGATACATCCATGATTCTTTCTTTGAATTATTACAGTTTTCTTCAACTCAACCCCAAAGTTGATCATAGGATTGGAATATGCCAGTGATTGGGTCTTGAATGAGTCTACATAAATTTGACATAATAGTCTATCCTCATTGACAGAGTATCCACAAGACCGAGACATTTTTTCAATTAATTTGATGAAACATGAATACATTATTTTGCTTATGTGACAAGAATTGAATTCAAAATATATTATATATAGATATTAATAGGATAGAATGTAATTTTGATTTTTACCATTGGATGGATTTCTCCATATTTTTAACCGTAGGATGAGATTCTCATCTTTATCTCAAAATTACTTTTAGATAAATAAAATTATATGTAGATATTAATAGGATAAAATGTAATCTTGATTTGTACCATTAGATGGATTTCACCTTATTATTAACCGTACGATGAGATTCTCATCTTTATCTCAAATTTGATATTCTATCCTATTAATATCTACATATAATTTTATTTATCTAAAAATAAATCCAGATTATATTCTATCCTATTAATATCTACATATAATTTTATTTATCTAAAAATAAATTTGATATAAAGATGAGAATCTCATCCTACGGTTAATAATAAGGTGAAATCTATTTAATGGTAAAAATCAAGATTACATTCTATCCTATTAATATCTACATATAATTTTATTTATCTAAAAAACAAATTCTAACGAAGATGATGATGAAGAAAAAAATTCATCATTATTGTTAGATGAATCTCTAGGACATAAATTCATTTTCAAAGACAAATAAAAATATTTGAATTTGTTTTAAAATTAAGTGAAAGTGCGGACTTCAATTCCAACGGTGTGGCTGGGCAAGATGCAGGTTGTAGTGGATCACCAACAATTATTCTTGAAGTTGTTGATGATTATGACCTTTTGATATGGCATGCATATTTTGGTTTGCCGGGCACAAATAATGATATTAATGTTTTAGAGTCATCACATCTATTTTTCAAAATCTTCTAGCGGTATTGCGCCTCTCACCCTTCATGTTATTCAAGGAAAAGAATACAACATGGGTTATGATTTAGCTGATGGTATATATCCTAAATGGTCTACAATTGTCCAAACTATTCGTGATCCACGTTCCCAAAAGAAGAAATATTTTGCAATGAAACAAGAATCGTGCCGAAAAGATGTTGAACGTGCATTTGGAGTTATGCAATCACGTTTTGCAATTATTGCAGGACTGCCACATTTTTGGAGAAACGAAGTGCTACATGATATAATGACTAACATGTATTATACTGCACAACATGATAATCGAGGATGAATGTGATCTTAATGCACTAATTCAAGATAGTGTAGAGGCTCCAATTGCAAAATAGAGAACTCTATATTTGGAGTGTAAAATAGAGAATAGCATTGGAGATACCCTAAATATGAGCAGAACTGCATCAAACATTAATTACTAACATAACGAGTCAACTGGGTTAGCAACATCCAAAAATTTGTCTTGGCTCAGCTTGGCCTGGTAAGGTTTCATGTTTATCAGCTGCTGTATGCTCCATTAGAGAGTTCAATTGGAAGGTTTAATGACATTATTGTTGTAGCCCTGTAGGTGCTCAGATAATAGTACACAAGATACCATGTCTCTTTTTGTTCTCGTATCTTGTCACTACTTGTATATATATATATTTATCTTGGAAATATTTTGCAACCTTCTTTGGTAGTATATTCCACTTGATCTATTGGTGTTGTCCGAATAATAAGTTTCTTAAGCTTGACAAATCCAACTTTGTAACCAAATGGAACATGTACCAGGAAACGGCCATGGAGCATGATGAGTGATCTTGACCAAACCCCACTTATCATGTTCAGTTCACCATCCAAGGAGTGTTATTAATTTGTTTGTTCAGTCTTCACTACTATCGACTTATTTGCCCCTGCGTAATGATAATTTGTTTGTTCAGTCTTCACTACTATCGACTTATTTGCCCCTGCTTAATGATAATTTGTTTGTTCTTCCCCACTCCCCCGCTTTCAAGGAGCACCTTTGAGGGTTTCTTTTCTCAGCCCAGTTTAAGAGAAACTATACCTAGGTCAGAAGAGAGAATTTAATTTGTAGATTCAATTTTAAATTCTATTTCTTTGTATACAAAATTTGAACTTTTTGATGTTATTGTCTCATTTGTTGATTATACACTATTTTCTGTATTGGTTGTTATGTTTTATATATTTCTCTCCTTTCACTTAGATTTGATGTACTTGAGCTGAGGGTCTCCCGGAAACAGCCTCTCTACCTCCACGAGGTAGTGGTAAGGTCTGCGTACACTCTACCCTCCCCAGACCCCACCTAGTGGGATTTCACTGGGTATGTTGTTGTTGTTGTTGTAGTGTGAGAAAAGTTGTTCCATGTGAGACTGTCTTTTCTTGTTTTTAACTAGGGAAGTAAATATAGAGAATCTTAAATTCTACACAATAATCTTGTTCAAGAAGAAGAAAAGAGTTGTATTCTGATCCAAAAGAAAAAGAAAAGAACGAAAAAGAGTTCTCTGTTGTATTCTTGTTTATTGCATTATGGTTTTGGAAGTTTCGTGTCATGAACAATTTATCTTGTGTATGTTTGGCTCAGGCATGACTGGGACAAACTCAAGGGCATGCTGTCATTCCATCTTAAGCAGGTATGGGGAGGTATGCCAAGTTGTCAGTGTATGACAACTTTTAGAGTCGTCTTCCAATTTATGCTGTTTTAATATTTCTGTATTGTGTATATGATCTTTTAACCACTCTTAAATGCTTTATTGAAGGTCCTGTCAGATTATCCCGAGGCAAAAATGACTATTGAACAGCAACAATCTTGTTTAGGAGAGAGCTTACCTGAGTTGGCTAAAAGGTTGGATGATGGTATTCCCGCAGTCATTTGCCTTACCTATTCCTGTCGTTCTCCTTTGACATGGGGGACAATTAGCTTTATTTGTCTGTAACAATTCTATAAGAAAATCTGCTGATACAATATATTTTTTTCTTTCTAGAACACATTCCTGTATTTTCCGGTTTTGTGTGCTTACTGGAGGCAAAAAAAAAGTCACATGCCATAGAAGTATATGGCTCTCCTAAAATTGATTGGTAGGTAAAGTTACCAATCCATGTGTTGGTGGGAGATGGCAGGTACCCGGTGGAAAAGTCAACGTTCGCGCTAGCTGATTGGAACAACAGTGTTATTATTATCCAAAAATAATAGAAGATGATACATAATGTTTCATATTTCTAGAACATATTTCTGTATTGTCCTGTTTTTGTGTGCTTACTGGAGGCAAAAAAAATAAATTCACATGCCATAGAAGTATACATGTGTTAGGATGTTAGATTCTTTTTGGTGTTTAGTTTGGGCTGCCATGGAAGTACAAGGTTCTCCTAAAATTGATTGTTCTGTTTGTGTGGGGCAACTGTATAACATATGTTCGGATGTCAGTTTTTTTTTTTGGGTGTTTAGCTTGGGGTCTCACTACTTGTTAGCATGTTCAATGTTGATGTTTTAAGATGCATTCTCTTAGGCAGTAGGGAGGAAATGTGATGTAAAAAAAAGGTTGAATGGAGGAAAAAGGAAGAAGTGAAGTAGGAGTAAATAATGCTCTTCTTGGTTAGGTTGCTGTGAAATGGTCAAATAAATGCATTTGCATATTGGTACTTCATATGTGTACTGATGGTCAACATATTGTCCAAAATGTCTTTTTATGTCCATTTTCAATATTTGCTTAATGACGGTCTTATTATTATTTTTTATTGGATAAAGGTAACCACTTGTATTAACAGTAAACTCAGCTACAAAAAGAGCTGTTTGTGATCTTTACATACAAAAGTATAAAGGGGATCCTGGACATAGCAAAAAACTTACACATTCCTTCTAAACCTACTAGTTTACCTAATCCCCCCATGTTCTGTTTATATTCTCACACAAAAAATAAGGGACTAAGACAATCTATTCTAATTTTCTGAATGGAATTGCTTTTATCTTCAGAGTATCTTGAATTCCTTCCCTTCCATATTATTCACCATACACAAGCTGGGATGATCTGCCACCAATCTTCTTCACCTCTTCTCCTCCCAACACTCTTCTAGCAGTTAAAATTTCCTATAGTTGAACTAGGCATGGTCCAGTTAATGCCAGACAAAAGAACATGTGCCACAAATTTGTAGTTGTCTTGCAGTGCAGGAAAAGATGTTCATTGCTTTCACCATCTTGATCACATAATGGACATTTTGAATAAATTTGAAGTCCTCTTCTTTGTAATTTCTCCTGGATCAAGTAAGCTTTCCTTGCCACTTATCAGACAAAGCAAGAAACCTTGAAAGGAATTTTGACTCTCCACAAGTGACAAGGACCGTCCCACAAACCTCTGGCTGCTGCAATCTCCTCCCAACGCTCAGTTTTGTCCATTTAGTGTGAGGGACATATACCATTGTGAGACACCAATTGAAGTTGCTGGAATTTCCACCTGTTCTCCTTTGTCTTAGCCCATGGCAGAAGTTGCCGGATTTTCCTCCCAGATCTGGATGGTGAAGAGGACACCTCCCTGTTCCAAGGTTATTTCTTTTAGAACCTCACTTTCCTCCCCTCTTATCCTGGCCCATTTCAAGTGATTCCAAAGTTGCGTCTCTTCCTCCGTATCCAACCAACCTCCACAGTTCTCTGATAGCTTACCTTTTGAGGCCAGGATTGCTAAGGTAATCCAACTAGTCTGGTCCATACTGAACTGGGTAATTCACTGTGGTTGATAGCTCCTATCAATGGTGACCACCATTGCAGCCGGACGAGGAGATTCTTCCAACACTATTCACCCTTCATAATCTGTTCTGCAGTGGATCTAAAAGAAAATTCAAAGAGAAATTTGTCGTCTTTCATTTTGTAGATATTCATACCATGTGCTTGCTTCCAAATAGAATTAGTCCAAATAGGTGGGTGTCTTTGAGGTGTTCAAAGGAAAAGCTCCCACTAGGCATATTCCACTTTCTGCATTCCAGGAGCGGGTTATGGTTTGTCACGTAGTTTCAAATCAACAAGAAAAAGTTCCCATTTAGTGTTGTTACTCTCTTCTGTGGTAGCAGTTAAGCTAATTCATCTGCTTCACTTTCACAATTTCAAGAGTTTTCATCTGCCTCAACCTATTACTGGAAAACTACTCACCCGAAAATAATGTAGCACATTGTATCATGTGAAAAGTAATTCCTGATATGTTACATTTACCTGTCAAATAAAATGTTATTATTCCAAATCAGCTTTATAACTCGGAAGTTGAACTAAAGTCTGAAGGTATACTTTGTGGGTGCTTCAATGGTGTTTTCTCTGGGTTCACTTTGTAACCGAACTTCTAACATATATTACCATTTCACATCTTGTTTGATTTTCTCCTGATGCAGTTGAGATAAGCTCTTGTCTTCTGGTTCATTACTCTGATTTTGATCTTCCCCACATTACCTTGATTTTGCAGCTCTCAACAGCTTTGCTGAAGGCCCTCCATTTACGTTGCAAAGACTTTGTGAGGTGACAATCTTTTTTAATCTCAATTTCACATTGTTGGATATGTTAGTGCTTAATTCTACATGATTTTCCTTTAAATTGAAGCTGTGTTTCTCTATTTCATGGAAAAAATTGTGTTTTTCTAGTATAGGAGTCGTCTTATAGCAGCTTAGTGGGAGTATGCTCAATATGAGGTGTTATTTTTAGCGTATTAAGTATGTTCTATTCACTGTTACAATGATTCTCTTCATGCTGATGTCTGATTTCTGGTTTTCAATTAAACATTTGATATATTGTTTTTTCGTTGTCTCTAATCTTTTTGAGTAATATTGAGCAGATTTTGTTGGATGCGCGGAACATTTATTCCAAGCTGTCAAAGCTTGCGTTGGCTCTAGAAAAGGTTTGATTCCGATGTGGAGCCTTATTGTGCTTATAAAGTTTCACGTTGTTTAATCTCATTGATGTAGCATCTCAACACTTTTTAACGTCCAAATCTTGAATGACAACTTTCTGAAGGAAACTCCGTAGTAGCAAGTAGCGTAAGAGTACATTACTGCTTAGTTGTCAATTGTTGGGAACTTAATTGTTAAAAACAGGGCTTCCAATAGTTTCTGAAGATCGATTGGGTACAGACTGAATATGGTCTTATTTTGTAATTACTAGTTGTGGAGTATTAAGTGATGCTTTTGTCTGTCTGCAGAATTTGTTAGTTACATCAACATTGACTATCTCCAGCGATCCATATACCATACAAAATGCTGTAACAGAAGCAGGGACAGAGACAGAAACAGAAACAGAAACGAAGGGTTCACCAGTTGAATCTAATGGAGTTGAACCTATAACAAGTGCAGGTGATGCAGATGAAGTAATGGCTGAGGTAGAAGAGGCTGAAGTTGAGGATGTTATGACAGTTGACATGGACACTATTGAAGCAATAGTCAGATCATCTGAAGCAGCAGATACTACACCTACCAGTGATTCATAATGCACTCTCTTATTATTTTCATGTCAAATACAGGATATGCAACAAGGTAGGTCATGGTTCAGTTTAATTCTGAAAATGTAGCAGTATAATTAAATGTGTGGGAGGTTAAAACATAACTATAATTAATGTCTTTATGGAATATATTGTTGCCTGTTTTTTCCCCTATAATCATAATTTTATACTCTATCCACCACATTTAGTCACTTGTAACCATACCTCCTGTTGGAGATACCTTATTTATTCTATTAGACATTGTAATAATGACTAATGACCTACAAGGCGGGGAGTTGAACGTAAGATTATGTTTAGAGATAATCACACAAGATACTTATTAATGAGGTGTTACACAAAAAAAATTGTAGTTTAAAATTTACATTTACAACATTTTGCCTCAAGCACAATTCCACATACAATAATATAAATTCGGTATACAATAATATACAAAACTTTCATACATTTTTTTTAAAACAAAAATACTTATAAACTTGATCTTATACACTAATATTATAATAATATATGGAAGTTGGGTTAGCTAGTTAGCTTATTAATTTAGCTTACATACACTTTTTGAAGAACCCTTTCTCTTATTTAACTTGATTTAACAAACGTGAAATTCTTGGTCCATCAAATTGGCTTGAAACATTAACCGTTACCGTGCTTTCTTCATGACTTTATTTTGACGTTGTATAATATATACTAATGGATGGAGAGATATTAGGAATTAATTAATTACAATAATTATATTAATGGATAGACATCGAATAAACAAGTGATTTGTGATATAATTATATAATTTTGATGAGAATAAAGTTGTTAAATCACTTGTTCCAGTAAAATAGAGAAACACCATATTCCAATTATTACTCAAACCAGCCAAACATTGGATTTAGATCGGTCAAAACAAGTTATCATGCTGCAATAAGTGTGATATAGGAGGGAAAATATGTGTTTTTGGTTGAATTTGAATTCGGTCAAAATGAGGCAATTTAATAAACGGAAAAGGGTTAAAAATATCTATGTTTGGATTGATTGAAAAGATTTAAATATATCATGCATTCACCTATCTTCAGTCCACCTTTTGGGCTATACCATTGCTAGCAAACCTTGTAATCACAATTTCTTTTGAGACACAACTAATAAACAACGTTAGACAATTGGTGTGAGTTTTATGAATTCCTAGCTACTATCCATTCTAAGAGTAAAGGTTCTCTTCCAACACATCAATCTCTACCAGAAATAAGAACATCAATCATGTTTTATGAATTCCTACTAATCTTTCACGTTATGTTCTTTATAAAAACACTTTACTATAGAAGCCAAAGTATTGGGACAAACAAGGCTGCTATAGAGACATTTTACTGACTGTATTATTAAAAAGTTATTCTATCGCCTATCGATGCACAAACTATAAACTATTATTACTAGATAGGAACACATAACTATAAACTAAGACCTTGTTGCTCTCATTATCCTCCTAATGTTGGTTTTAAACTAAACACGTACGGATGATTCTTCCACAGGTAAAATTGGCATACGAACAGAAATATATATGAAAACAGGTTAGCACAATTCTTGAAATATTAATAATCAAAACATCGACATATATGGGCAAAATTACAATTTCTTTTCAGCTGAATAGTCCATTTAATGAACTATATAAATGTGTATTATATATCTTGTAAAACTGATGAATGCAGCAACCAATCATCAGGAATATCAACAGGGATGTCCTCGAATGTTCTATACATATCTTCCTCACTTCTAATATCTTGGCCTTCTTCTACTTCCAACGTTGTCTCTCTCTTCTCCATTGTAGTAACATCATATTCGGAAGTTGTAGCCTCACAAACCCTAACGGAGTAGTCGTTATTATGATTAGGTTCAAGCAGCAACATAGGATCAATAATCCCCGCAACATCGTCTCCATCTTGTGCCTCCATAGCATGATCCACGTTCTTCTCTTTATCCATCTTCTTCTTCTTCTTGATTCGACACACTACAAAATCTTCTTTAACAATATGATTGTTTTCCTTAAAGAAACTATCCGCAACCTGATATTCTATCATCAACCAAGTTTTATTTTGGCCACACTCACTTGTTTCAAACTTGAAATTTCTCTTAAACCCTATCACAGGACCCATACGATTCCTCCTTATAAGATCTTCTCCGGTTTGCCCTTTCCACGTCCCTTTAGCACAAGTTCGACAAAACCTTTTATCTTTAATCTTCCGCTTCTTCAAAGGAGTAATAAAGTAACAAAATTTCTCTTCACAATTAGCTCCAAATATCTCCCATGGTGGTTGATCTCCATATATATCCGCAAATTGGATAGGACATTGTTGATTCAATGATAATTCGCCTTTGAAAAACCTCTTAAGATAGTTGATTAGCTCCGTATCAGTAGGATGAAAACGTATTCCCATTTGCTTTGACATTGATTCTTGATCCAGAATTAACCTAGCTATACTAATTATGTGAATTATGATGTCTAAACAAAGATAGTTATCTATTTATACACATCTTATTACCCTAATGGAAAAAACTCAAATTACTTAACAAACTCAAGTTACTTTATTTCCTAAATTACTACTATAACCGTAATTGAACTAACTAAAGTTACTTAATTACTACTTTTCAAGTTACTTTATTTCCTTATTTTCAAACGCAAGTGGTTACGAAAATTTCCTAAAGTGAAAGTTTAGTTTTCTTTTGGGGGGTATTTCTAGTAGAACAACCGACAAATCCATTCAAGTCTTTTAAAGACACGTGGCAATTTGACCTTTTTTCTATTTTTTTTTAAAATATTGTGTTTTATTTTTGATTATTTTCACATTAAAATGCAGGCAACATGTCTTTATTATAGTAGTTGACTGTGACTAAAAGTAGAAATTTATTATTTTACAAAATAAAAAAAAAATTAATATTAATTGTTTTGGGAAGTGAATAATACTCTCACGTCTCATATTAGATGGACATTTTTTATTTTATACCGTAACTAAGAATTCATTAATAGATTTATTAATTTTACCTTTTTTCCTTTGTTCATATTAGTTAGCCTCCTGGAAAAAAATTTGGATCTTCTTCAAAAATTTGTTTAAACTCATATTAATTGTAGGGTTAAAATAGAAAAAAACAATTAATTATATCTTGATATAGTAAGTGATCAAGTAATATACGACAAATATATTTAGTAAAATGTTCATCTAATATGAGACGGAGGGAGTATTGGTTATATAGTATAGAAACTATAAGTCTGAAAAGTACAAACAAGTGATTATTGGTTGGTATTATAATTGTTCAAATTTATCGACTATTTGTTAGAAGAAAAATAATAAAGAAATTAAAGCTTTGAAGCATGAAAGATCACTATAGTTATTGGATGTATATTCTTTAAGGGATGACAAACATTTCTTTGTATGGATACAACAAAGCATATAACATATAAGCAATTGAATACTACTTTTGGAAATGCTTCGTATTTATAAATTAAATCTAATAAGGATATTTTTCATGAAGAGTCACTCATTTTCTGAACAAACGTAACCTTTACTTGTTTCCTTTCAGAAAAGGTAAATATTTTTTAAAATATAAAATTCAAATATTAGATAAACAATTTGTTCAAAATAAATTACGAAAATTACGAAAAAGGAATCTTTAAATTTAATTAAAGATCTGATCCGGCTCAGCCCAAGCCCTAAGTCCAAGTCCTTGTGAAATATATATATATATATATATATATATATATATATATATATATATATATATATATATATATATATATAGACTTACTCAATTAAATAGACTAAATGAGCTAGACTTTAAAAGAACCTAAAAGATGGCTTCTCCCACCAGTGTTAAAACTTTCTCTTTATATTACAACTACCCTAAGACTATTAAAGTTTAAAAGGAGAGGGAAAAACCTCCCCATTAAACCAATTGGTGGCATAATAAAAAAGAATTGGACAAATTTTAATTTGACTTTCCCTCCAAATCACTAAAATCAATTTTTTAGAGTGCATGTTTTTTGTTATATTGCTTGAAGAATATAGTTTTCTTTCTTCATGATATGTGACTCAGATTAGAGGATTGTGTTATATTTGTGGATTTGTATTACTATATCGTGGTAAATTGCTTACATTTATATTGTGGTTTGTGTATTGATATTGCACCTATTCTTTCCTTGTTGAGTACATGGCGTCTCTCAATAGCTAATTCAAGACTTCAATTAGGAACGTCTAACTTCAAATTCAAGCGTGAGCTATTCTTCCAGGATGTACAATTCCTCTATTGTTCTTGTCCATATTTTCGGACTAAGACATTCTTAGACTATGGGTTATTTGTTTTAAGCTTCGGCGTTGCATCTCATTTATGTCAGACATTAAAGTTTCAGTATTGCGACTTTCACTTCTTATTGATTTATTTTCTCAACTAAGGAATTCAAGCAGGCTTCGCGCGGTTATTTCATAAAAAGAGTTAAATGAGTTTATGCTACAATATTTTAGTTAAAATTAATCTGAAAGATAAAAGATGCATGTCACCCCCCGAGCCTACACCCTGGGCGAGACTGACACTCGAGAACTATTGTTGGCCCCAAGAGAACCCTTGGCTTGACTTACTACTCAACGGAAGACTTAACTTAACAAAGACAAACTTTTATAAAAACTAGTATGTTATAAAGAAAACATTCAACTAGCCAATAAGGGAAACTCATGTCTTAAAACAAACAAATGAATGAATATGAATAAAGAACTCATATCTAACTGTCTATGAAGCCTTTAGATACTAAGAGGAATGTCGGGACAAGACCCTCGATCATCCTAACAACTAAAGTAGCCAAAAGCAATAAAACAAAACATAAACAAAGGGATCCTTCGGAAAGCAAAGAGGTTCACCAACAAACTCTGAGATTCTCGACTGGATCAACGAGGCTCTGGATGCTGATCCTGATTACCTTCATCTGCATCATAAAATGATGCAGGCCAAATGACATCAGTACATTGAATGTACGAGCATGTGAGGGAAAAACTAAACATGACATAAATTTGAAATGAATTCTGAAAGAACCACTTACCTCAACTCTACTCAACTCATGGATACCCAACTTAATGCATAAATAAACAACAGTAAAGATGCAGTTTAAGTAAAGCCTTTAAAACATCAAGT